ATCCGTAACCACGGACTCCGTGGCCCAAGGCCCTCCTAGGACCGTGCTTACGGCGGCAAGGGCGAAAACCGCCCCAACCCTCAGGCCCTTACGCCAACCCCTGCTGTGCGAGCATGCGCCGCAGCCTTGCAGGCCACAGACGGCGGTCCTCTCGGTGGACCCGCACGCAAAGCATCCAGGGAAGGTCGAGTCTTCGGCAGTGCCTAATCCGCAGTTCCCACACGGGTCACCACTCGCGTCCGTAAAGAGGGTCTCAACCCCTCCGCATTCACACGCGGTGGTCTGCGCGAGCCCGGTCCGGACCTCGCCGACGACGGCACCCGGAGAGACAGTCGTGTCCTCTTCGGCTACCAGCAAGATCGAACCTTCCTCGGCTCCTGTGGGCCACAGCCCAGGCACTGCTTCGCAGTTGGCGGACTCTACCGGGAGGACAGCCTCCGTAAGGGAGCCATCCTGGCCTCCACTGCCTTCCCTCTTCACAGGTGCGATGACCCCATCTCCGGCCAAGAGCTCCAGCGGGTTCTCCCCGCTGTACCGGAGCAGGTCCCTGCCTCCGGTACCCGGCTCAAAGCACAGAGCACCGTCGAGACTAGAAAGCCTGGACTCGAAGGCGTAGGCGCGGTCCTTCCGCGACCTACTGTAGTCTTCGCACCTGGGGATCTTAATCCCAAGGGTTTCCAGGGAGTGGCAGTCAGGAAGGGGCTTGAAGCCCAAGCCCTGCCGTCCCGAGCAATCCAAGGCGCGGCCGCCAAGGATGAGCCCATGCCAATCCGAGGTTCCTTTCGCGGCTATTTTACAGCGCACGAATATCTCTGGACCCTCGCTGCAGTTGTCGGGGGAGAGCCCCTCCAGAAAGCGGACTCTCAGCACGACGGCCCCCTTCAGGGGCACCGGCTTCCCTGCAGCGATCCCATGGACGAACTCCGGATGCACCCAGCGTTCGAACTTCACGACAGGAAACCTCCGGTCCTCCGTGCCGATCCCCAAGGCAGCAGCCCGGTTGAGGATCCCACAGAGGAGTTCCTCCGTGATGTGGTTCGAGCCTGCACACCCGTCCAGCATGCATTCCACCATGCCGTCGATGACCTGCACGACTGTTCTGTACTGGTACCCCCCGACCTCGTTCTCGCAGAGGTGCCACCAGTCCTGAGGCAGCTCGTCCAACGAGCTGAACTTCGACGACGAGCTCTTGGCAAGCGGGAAAGCGGAGGAGTTCGCCGCAACAACCGTGCCAGCGCTCCCAATCTGGATGGAGAGCGTAGCGAAGGGATTCACCATCCCGGCGCCACTCGGGGCCGCCCAGTTCGAAGGCAACGCGGCTCCCCCAGTGGCGGGAAGCGAATGGACCATGTCACAGTCCGCTCCCTTACGGCACGACCCGTTCTTCTTGAAGAAAGGGCAGATAGTCCCTGGCGGCTTCGCGCCCGCCTTGGACTTCGCCTTGGGCTTGGCCTTGGCCTTGCCTTTGGGCTGCCCTCCGGGTCCACCCTTGCCCTTGCCCTTGCCCTTCCCCGGCGTTGTCGCCAGGGTGGACGCGTCCCGCTCCTTCTTGGCCGCGAGGGCCTTTTTGCGGAGCTCCTTGTCGTGCGAGTAAGGGCACGCGTCCCCTTTTGGGCAGTTCCCGTGGTCGCGGAAATGGAAACAGATAGGCTTACCTTTTCCATTTCCTTTCGGACCAGCGGCAAGCGTGGAAGAGGCGGCCGCCTTGGCCGCGGCCTTAGAAGCCTTGAGCTCCGTCCTCAGCTTCTCGACCTCCTTCCGCGCGGCGGACAGGGCTGGGTCTTCCGTCGAACCTGCGTACACGCTATTAGCCGTCACCCGATGCGCAGCCTCACGCTGCTCATATTCGAGGACGACCTTATGCGCTTCTTCCCAGGTCGAAGGGCCTCGAAGCCCTGCGGATGCGCCGTCGCTAGGCCACAACCGCTTATCACCGCGGATCTCCTTCTGGAGATGTGGAGGCATCTTGCGCAAGTAGCTTAGGAAGAGCTCCCTCGCTGTCTTGCCAAGACCCACACTCTCCAGCTCCGCGATGGAGGCCTCAAACAGGGGCTCGAACTGGTGCCCTGTGAGACGGCCCTTAGTGAGGGCGACGTGCTCCGCGTCCACCCTCATCTCCTTCTCTTCTCGGCTCTCGCCGAAGACAAGGTGCCGCTGCTTGATCCTTTCGTAAACGGCTTGGGGATTCTCAGTAACTTCCCCGGTCTTGGAGGCAGCCTTGTACACGTTAGTAAAGGTCTTAAGCCTCGAGCCGCGGCAGCGAGCACGAAGGGCGATGAGTTTCTCCCGGAAATTCATCCCCTTGCAGTTGTTGGCAAGGCCACAGACGTCCTCGAACTCTTCGTAGAACTGGACCACGTCCCGGATGTCGGAGCGATCGTCGGTGAGCGAGGGCCATTGGAGGTCCGTCTTCACGGTCGTGATCGACGTCTGACCTCCGCGAGACGCCAAGGCCTCCTTGAGCGCCTCGGTCTGGGCCGCCAAAGCTGCAGCGAGCTCTCCGGCTCCGCCGCTGGCGGAGTGAGGCTCGCCGGGCTTATCCTTCTTAAGCCCTTCGAGCTCTATCTCCAGAGCCGCAAGGCGGGACTTCAGGGGTGAGTCCCCCGGACCAGGTTGCGGATCCTCAGGGATCGCGAGCTGAAGGTCCACCGGGAGAGGCGCCGGTGCTCCGGACTTAGAGCCCGACTCCGCAACGGCGCCCGTCCGGGCCGCCAGGGCCGGGACAGAAGAAGGAGTGCTCCAAACCTTCTCGGGATCGCCGCTGCTCTTGCCTCCCAGGGCCAAGATCAGCTCGCCGAGGCACGAGATCTCCTTCTCGACCTCCTCTCGGTCTTCCGACCCAAGAGAAACCGCGGCAACGGTAAACCTGGTGCGCAGGGCCCGCACCATCCTGGCAGGGTGCCAGTCACCTCCCATTTTGCCGTATTCCTCGGCAAGGATGGTGGCCTTGGTAGTGATCTTCTCAAGATCCTCCACCGTGACCTCTGCCTGGTGCGCATTCAAGGCCACAACCAGCCTTGAAACCCGCGTCAGGTAATCCGCGACCGGTTCCTGGTCGGGACGGTAGAGCTCCCGCAGGTCCGCCTGCAGGGTCTCCGCCGTGACGGGACCACCCGTCCCAGCAGACGAGGGAGGCCCGGAACGGGCCGGGCCGCCGGCCACCGGCGAGAGAGCAAGCGCACCAACACGGCGCGCCGTCTCGGCCACGTCCGCCGGCGCAGCGGCAGGACGCGGAGCCGGTACCCCGGCCTCCGGCAGAAGCTCTTCAGAGCTGGGGCCCGGATCGCCATCCTGAGCACCCGGGCCCGCTTCCGCAGCTGGAGCTTCCTCATCTTCCTCTTCATCTTCTTCCTCTTCCTCTTCGGCATCGAAGTTGTCGTAGAGGAATTCCATCGTCTCCTTCCACAGACGCTGTTCATCTGCTAGCGTCGTGGATCGTCCGTCCTTCTTCTTGGTGGGACGGGACCCCGTTTCCTTACGCCAACGGAGCCAGTACATAAAGGGCATCTTCTCCGGGTACTCCACTGACCCATCCTCGATGCACCTCAGCAACGTGGCTCCTTCCGGCTGACCTGCGACCTCAGCGCTCATGGTCGCCTAGCGAAGGAGAGAGCCCCGTGCCACACAGGACCACGGCCTCAAGGCGCACGACAAGCGCGCCTTCGAGGCCACGTTAAAAGATTGCGGCGCAGCAGCCGCCTGGGTGGCCGTTTCCCAGAACAGCCCCCAATTGTGGAGAACGGAAACCCAAAGGGGCAGCACGCACCCTCGTTTTCCGTCCAAGCAGAAAGTCCAACGACCGTGACAGGTCGAACGTCCGCCCAGGACGGGCTGCGCGCAATTGCGTCGCGGCAACGAGAAGCTACCAACGACACACTGCCGTGCTCACTTGAGCCAAAAATGTTATGAATACGAATTACAGAAGAGCATGCATAAAAGCATACAGCACAACAGCCAGCCCGCAGACTATGTACAGTTACAAGTAGTAGTAGTACTGTAGTAGTACTGTAGTAGTACTGTAGTAGTACTGTAGTAGTAGTAGTAGTAGTAGTAGTAGTAGTAGTAGTAGTAGTAGTAGTAGTAGTAGTAGACGTAGACGTAGTAGTAGTAGTAGTAGTAGCAGTGGAAGTAGTAGTAGTAGTAGTAGTAGTAGTAGTAGTAGTAGTAGTAGTAGTAGTAGTCGTAGTAGTAGTAGTAGTAGTAGTAGTAGTAGTAGTAGTAGTAGTAGTAGTAGTAGTAGTAGTAGTAGTAGTAGTAGTAGTAGTAGTAGTAGTAGTAGTAGTAGTAGTAGTAGCAGTAGCAGTAGCAGTAGCAGTAGTAGTAGTAGTAGTAGTAGTAGTAGTAGTAGTAGTAGTAGTAGTAGTAGTGGTAGTACTAGTAGTAGTAGTAGTAGTAGTAGTAGTAGTAGTAGTAGCAGTAGTAGTAGTGTAGCAGTAGTAGTAGTAGTAGTAATCAAATAATGGTGATATCACCTTCAGCTGTTAGTACCATGCCGTTGTTGTAGTTGCGGTTCTGGTCGTCGTCGTCGTCGTCTTCGTCGTCGTGGGCGTCGTCATCATCCTGCTGCTGCTGCTTCTGATTCTGACTCTGTTTTTGTTGCGGTTGTTGCCGTTGCTTTAGCCGTTGCCGGCTGTGGCTGCCGCTGCGGCTGCGGCGGCTGCTGCTGCTACAGGCAGCGGCTGTGTTCTGGTGCTCTTTGTTTGTGCGAAAACAGGGTAACAAATCAAAGTCCCGCCGTGAACGAACTCTAAAGTGGCAGGAGCTAACGCAATCTTGGCAGAGTCTTGGACGCACCCAGAATTTGACGTGCCAGCAACGACAGTAGCTAGAGCATCGGGATCATCCGGGTCAGCGTGCCTTGCCAATGCACGCCATATCCATTGCGCGCAGATGGACGAAGTGAAGCACCGACAAACCAAACAGCACGTTTTCCTCTAAACACCTTGTCACAACTGCTTTGCCGGGTATGATCACTTCTGAATTTCCATGCTGAGGTTAGCATGGCCATCTGCCGGGCAGCAGCTGCGTGCAAAAATCAGACGCCTCTGGCCTTATTTTGGGACGGGCGTGCGATGGCACTGGTGTTTTTCAGCTGGGAGGTTTGCCCACAGGGTCAGAACTGGCCAACTCTGATGCATTGACTTGGTTCTAGTCCTACATGCCCTGGAACGCCCTGCAACAGTAAACATTGAATACCATAAACCCTATACCTATAGTCTCCGTTGTAGTTCCTTTTTTTGTATAACAAATATATAATAAGGATCCGATAAGGTAACCCCAAAAGGGAACTACAATGGAGACTACAGGTAAACCCACGGAACTTTTCCTTGCCGTGCGACCACCAAGGCTCTACCAACGAGTGGCGGAGCTTTCAGGGAAGCCGACAGACAAGTTTGTGCTCCCTGTGCCGGCCTTCAACGCAACTTGGCTGTAGTTCTAGGCTTAGGTTCTCGGGCCATAGGTGTTTCCAGGCATTTAGGGTTTAGGGCGCCCTCTAAGTCTAAAGGCTCTTGAGTTTAAGCTATTTGCAAGTGGCTGTAGATCGGCGTTGTCGTGCTTTATCTTAGAGGCGAGATCTGCAAGGGACGGCCGGGGAATGCAACCTAACAATTTAGTACTATAAGATACTACAAGTATAAGGGTATTTGAGTTCGAAGGCTACTATAAGGCGCAAGTGGACTTATCTGCTTGTGCAAGGAGTGAACACGAAGATTTCAGAAATACCTGAGAAGCTCTACTAATAACTCCCACATCGCTATTAGCGTAAACCTTTACCGAACGCCAACCCCAGGGCTGAAAAACTGAATCATGAAGAATGCAAGGTAATATAGGGGCCGAGATTGTTATAATATAATACTATTTGTGTGGGTTCCTCATTAGAAATATAGTATGATGGGCCCGAAAGCCCTATTCTAATTCGTAAGGCCCCCATAGATTACCCTGGAGCCTAAACGATTTTTTCTCAAGACTTCAGCCTTATGCTGAGGAATGGAGCTTAGGGTTTCAAGGGTTTAGAGCCTAAGGGCAACAGGCCTAGGGTTTGAAAGGGGTCGAGTGTAAGCATTTAGGCCAGGGTTCATGAGGGCTTAGCGGTAAAACTCATAGGGATCCTTAGGGGTGTAGGGGGGAGGGGTGTAGGGGACTATATTTCCTTAAATAGGCCTTATTAGTCCTTATTATGGGCCTTAAGGCCCCCTACCCCCCCTCCCCCGTACACCCCTAGGGATCCCTATGAAAAACGGAGCACCCCAGCTGACGTCTGTCCATGTAGGCTAAAGCTGAGACGATCCCGAACAAGAAGCTTGAAGGCTGGCTGAAATCTTAGCCCGTAGCTAAGATCCCCAAACCCTAGACCTCTAAAACCCAAGCCTCAAGCCCCAAAAGCCCAAAGACCCCCAGAACCTGCAGCCTCGATGTCCTAAAACATGTGGTGGGCAAGGTCATTAATGGCGGGAGCCACGCGGGCAACGGGCTGCCGGTGCAGGCGAACCCAGATCTGCCTTCGCCGTTTCACCGATGACCTTAGATATCGCCTTTCTTGTCTTCTGGAGATAATCAGGTTCAGAACACCCTGAAAGGGACAAGGGCCACTGCCACCCATGCAAAGGCCATATGAACTTGGCACTTGTCGCTCCCACGGTGTCCCCTGCATGACCCCCCTACCAACAAAAAACACCAAAGAACGCAACCCTAAACCCTAAACCCCTAAACCTAAATCCCGCAAAGCCGACAGGAGTTCATGATCCTTCCCGTGGGGGCCAGCAGCTTCCGAGAAGCTATTCAGATTGGAGCTGAGGCTATGCGCTCTGGGGTTTGGGGATTTGGGGGTAACAATGGCGACTACAATGGTGCGGTGGTTTTGAAAGTTGGAAATTAGGCTGTAGCGTGTGGGGTTGTGGGTTCTTGTTTTGTGTTTTCCGGTTTTGAAGTTTGAGGCTTTTCGGGTTCGCCGCCTTCGGCAGCTCTAAAGCCCGAACCCCAAATCTCCAAAGCCCTCAATGCCACCCACAAACCCCCTCAACTTAAAAACCCTAAGCCCCTAAATTTAAACCTTAAACCCTAAGCTGTCCAATGCCCTAGTTCATCAAGCCCTGCCTCTACACTTCTCCCCCTGTGATAGTCCCCAAAACCCTCAACCCTAACCCCTAAACCCCAAAACCCCTAAACTCCCTCAACTCTAAACCCCCTAACCCCGAAACGGGAATACTTCCCCAAATCATACTAGTAGTTCCTCATATAGAAACCCTATATTCTACTATATCGGTACTTTGGACCCTTTGGAGAGGAGGGTTAGGGCTTCGAGAGTTTGGGGTTTAGGGATTTTGAAACGGGTCACAGGTCTACCACCACCTCAAGAAGGTCATCCAGGCTCGGACTTTGAGCGATTTGGGGCTTTTGAGGGCCTTGCTGCTGGAGATCGGCTTGAGCCGGAATTTTGGGTTTAAAGGGAACTCCAGAAAGATGGAATATGGATAAATGGTAGGATCCCCTATATTTTACCATAGAAGGGTTAGGATAATAATATTCCAACTTTCTGGCTTTTACCTTAGGGTTTAGTGCAGGATTTCGGGTTAGGGATGTTAGGGTTGTAAGGACGTTAGGGTTTGGCGTGTTAGGGTGGTTTGGATCTTTTTTTTTTGCAACGGGTTCCGTATGTTGAGGGTTCAGGGAGCAGGGTGCAGGGCTTCGAGCAAACCCATTGCATTCACAGAGGCAGCCATCTTAAAGCACTCAAATCTAAACCCTAAATAAAGGCTGATGAGTAGTAGTAGAATAGTAGGGTATGCTAGCAGCAAGACACCGAAGCACGGCCCTGCACGATATTGCATGTTAAACCACGAGTTAGTGTTTGCTTATACAAGCTAACATGCAGGTATCATTACTTTCGAGCTTAGAAATTGCAAGTTTTATGAATAGACCACTCAGTAGATACTGCCCAGGAGAAGTATGGCCAAGATGCCACCAACGTAGGCGATGAAGGCCCGCGGGCGGATCTGGGTGGATCCGGGGCAAAGATTCATGGCGGGTTCCGATTGGTGGGGTCTAGTGTCGAGGGCTGTCATCTGCGATCTTGGCATGATTAGGTGCTACTTCTAGACCCTCCGCCTACCTCTTATTAGACCCTAGATACCTGTTCATACCTACAGACTGGGTTCCAGGTTTACGGCTCAGGAACTGGGGGTTTCTTGAGCTTTGGGAGCCGTGCTGGTGTCAGGGATAACCCACACTTTGATGGTGTATAGGGCCTCAATGCTTGGCAAGACCCCAACGCTAAGGTTTAGGGCCTAAACCCTAGGCCACTGAAGCCGTCAACCCTAAACTGCTGAAGCCTAAAGCGGTTTAGGGTTTTGGGTTTAGGGTTTAGGGTAAAGCCAGAGCCCTGGCCCAGTTTAGGTGCCTTGTTGCCTGCCCCTAGCGGGGTCTCCGCCGAGAGGTACGATCCCCTGGTCGTCTTCTCAAAAAACTCTCCTCTCACTTTACCTATAGTCTTCATTGTAGTTCCTTTTCTTGGTTTAACCAAATATATAATATGGATCCGATAAGGTAACCCCAAAAAGGAACTACAATGGAGACTACAGGTAGCCTCCCAAAGCCTTAAACCCGGCCCGAGCCGAATGGAGATCTCAGTGCGGAAGTGCTGCAACGTAATATGGGGGGCCTTAATAATTACTAATACTATTTTTTTTGAGGGGGGTCCTTATTATAATTATAGTATACTGGGCCGCAAAACCCTATTCTAATGACTAAGGCCGCTACATTACCGGGATCCATATTCCGAGAAGCGAGCCCCAGCTAGAGCCTGGGGTTTCTGAATAAGGTGATGCCTTAGAAGCTGCCCCCACCCTGTAATAGTGGTATAATAGGAATATAATAGGGCCCTAATATAATATTAATATAATCCTTATGGTCACTATTACAGGGTGGGGGCAGCTTCTCAGTGATGCCCTAAACCCCAGACCCGTTTGTTCATGAAGTAGAGGCCGGAGAACAGCTTCATCATTATAGCAAACCCCACCCAAAAAAGTTGGAAACCGGCATAAGGACAATTAGTGCTGGGATTCCCTATGCATTACTCTAAAGGATTGAAGCTCTTGGTTTTCCAGCTGTTGGGCTTCTGCAGCATCCTCATGTCCTTACAGGTAAAGTGAAGAGGGATTCTAGAACTAATCATCCCTACATTCCCATGCTCCGTGGCTCACCATCCCTAAACTCCCAGACTCTAGATCCTAAACCCTAAACCCTAAATCCTAAACCCTAAACCCTAAATCCTAAACCCTAAACCCTAAACCCTACACAAACCCTGACTCGCAAGGCGGCTTTGCCCCGAATGTCCTCGAGAGCGACGAAGCCCTGCAGGCAATATCCAAAACAGATCAGTTTAGGGTTTAGGGGTTTAGGGTTTAGGGGTTTAGGGTTTCGGGTTTGGCGGTTTAGGGCAAAGTAGATCATCTCTTAGGATCAGGGCTGGCTTGACGTATATGCACAAATTTTCTATCCATATGGAAACCTTATGTACACGTTTATTCAGCTGTTCATCTAGAACCGTACAGTAGCATGCAAACGCATATATGTATGTATGCACGTATGTGTGTATGCACGTGTAACGTATGGGTGCACATATGTATATATAACTAAGTAAAATCATATGTATATATATATATACAGTTCTAATTATATATATATATATATATATATATATATATACATACATAATCACATATATATATATATATATGTGTGTGTGTGTGTGCGTGTGTATATACACCTATACATTGTATACATATGCGTCCGTCCGTCCATCCATCCATCCATCAATCCACCCACCCACCTAACCACCCAGGCAGTCAGCCATCCATTCACGCAGACATGCATGCAACCATATATATATATATATATATATATTTATATATATGTATGTATATGTATGTATATGTATATGTGTATATATATATATATATATATATATGTATATATGTATATATGTATATATGTATATATATATATATATATATATATATATATATTTGTATACAGCTGCATGCCTACATACTTAAAAGCATGCAGGCGCACATGCATGCAGGAACATATGCCTATGCATACAGAAATACATACATGCGTATACATATGTATCTACCTACGTACAGACATACATACATGTCATGAATATCTGCATGCGTACATACTTACATGCATATACACATGACGTGCATGCACGCATGCAGACAAACAGGCAGGCAGCCAGCCAGAGATAGGCAGATAGGCAGCCAGGCTGTCAGGCAGCCAGGCAGAGAACAGACAGAGAAGAAGTATCGTATTAGTATTGCCATTAGTTACTTCTACTCTCGGAGTTTATTAGCACTAGTAGTTGTACGAAATTGTCTCGTTGCTGTAGTAGTCTTGCAGGTAAGAAGGTAACCGAAGCATTATCGGCATAAGAGATGCCGGGGATCACAGCTGCTGTTTGGGGCGGATTGAGCTTAGGAGGCCCGGAAATCTGCCCCTGCACAGGTGCTGATGACAGCGATCGAAAAGTCTGGCCATGCCCCTTCGGCAACCGAGAGCATATTTTCGGAAAAGTAGGGGTACCTTATTTGGGGAGTCCTTGTAAAAAGGATCCTACTATTTAGGGTACTATATTAGGGTCCCCTATTTTTGCAAAACTCCCATATGGGGCTACCGCCACCGGAAACCCAAAGCCCTTGGTCAAGAGTGCACGAGGATGCCGAAAGTATTTTCCAGGTTCTTGTCGTAATGTAGACTTAGTAGCTGAGTGCATACACTACATGTTTTGCATAACATTACCCACTACAAAACTGAAGGCTGCATACTTAGTTACAGCATCACGCTGTGGCCCCTGCAGTAGTTCTCACAAGTGCAAGATACACTATGGTGTTTGGCGGGTGTGGGTTCTAGGCTTTTGGGGTTTGAGGGTTTTGGCTTATGCGGTCTCGTTTCTAGGCGCTTGCGGGAAGAGCCCCTACATGCCCTTACAAGGCTGCAAAAGTCAAGCTTGGCACGGATGTCGCAGCTTCAGAGTTCTACGATGCCCTTCGGCTGCCACTAAAGCTTCGAGTTAGGGTTCGACTCGAGTTTGTCATTGTCTTCACGGCTTGAAAGTTTGCTGAAGGTTTTTTGTTCGAGCTCCAGGTGAAGTCGGGCCTTGAGGCACTACCGATAGTCTCCATCGTAGTTCCTTTGTTTGTTTAACCAATCTTGTATTTAAGGATCCTGAAAGGTAATTCGAAAAGGAACTACAATGGAGACTATAGGTAGTGTTGCATCTGGGGTTGTGATTAGCGGTTTCAACCGGTCTCAATATCGCTACTGTTACACGAGAGCACAGCCCACAATTCTGGAGAACAAGTAGGTAACTGAAAGGTTCACTCGCGAGGGGACCTTCTCGCGTCACACTCCTGCATCTGCTATGATCAGACGAAGTGCACGTATAGAAAAGCCCGAAACCTGCGCACGCCTCGAACCTACACCCCGAACCCCGAAACCCCTGTGATGGGTAAGATCAACCTCTTATGGGCGACATGGTAAAAGGATAATGCACGCCCCAAAGCCCTACGACAATTCCCTGGGCCCGTATACCAAGCCACTATAGTATCCCGAACTCTTGAAAGCAACCATGTTCTAGTGATAAGGCCTCTCTACTACTGTGGAACTGTCTGAAGACATAGAAGCCATCCGAGCTCACAAAGAATTCGGATGTCGAAAGCCTTATCTAAACCCTTGCAGTCTAATGTAGGGACCTGATTAAGCAACCTTGGGCCTTCACTAGGGTGCCTTACATGAACCCGACTATTTTGGGGTTATAGGCCCAGGTTTCCTAATCAGGTTCCTGCATTAAACCCAGGCAAAGGAGAAGAAGTATGACCTCTATTGGAAGGACAAAGACAAGAAGGGGCCGACTCCTCAACTCCCTCCTGGTGGTCCCTTTGTTCTTATGAGGGCTTAGGGTTTAGCGGTTCAGGGTCTCTTCTAATGGTTCGAGCCTAATGTGGGGGCCTAGTACGGGGCCTGGTCGTATCCTGAAAAGCAGCTTGAGGTCTGGATTTAAGTTTGTCATGGGTTTGCGGTTTGCGGTTTCAATGTTTCTCGAGCCTACGGTAGTTCCAACACTTACAGGAGCACAGCCGCGCTCTCACCAGAATCGACTGAAACTGCTGTAGCAGCGAACTGTGACGCTATTCCACACTGTGCTAGTGCGAAGTCGATATTAAACTTTATTAAACAATAACACGGTCCCAAAGACTCCATTATCCGTTAATTAAGGAATATACCTTAGATAGTAGGATCCCTAAGATGAGTTAAGGTACATGTCTTAATTAAGGGGTACTGGAGTTCACGGGGTCGCAGGATGCTCATCATGATCGTTTGTCTTCATTGCGACATTGCCATCACCTGAACCATCACCATCCTCATCCTCATCGCCGTCATGGCCATGTTTTAGAAGCTGCCCCCACCCTGTAATACTGACCATAAGGATTATATTAATACTATATTAGGGCCCTATTATATTCCTATTATACCACTATTACAGGGTGGGAGCAGCTTCTAAGCCATGTTGTTTAGGATCCGAGCCGTGTTCAGACCCCAAACCCCTGAACCCAAATCTGCAGACGTGAACCTCCCTAAGCCTCAAAGCTCCAACCCACATTCGAAACCCACACCCTGAGACCGTGAGCAGTCAGCCCCCCCCTAACCCCAGACCCAAAACCTAAAACCTAACTCAAAACCTAAACCCCAAAGCGTAACCCTAAAAGCCCTAGGCCCTAAAACCCCCAACCCCCCCTGACCCTAAACCCTCAACGCCCTGAACCCGGCCCTAAACCCAAAAACCCGAGATGTTGCCCAAATCGAGGCAGAAGATGATGTCCACCGCTGAGCTGGCAGAGTACTTCAAGGGATGGACGGAGAAGAGCCTTGCCTAAGGGAGGTGAAGGGGTTTAGGGTTTTAGGGTTTAGGATCTATGGACGGAGAAGAGGAGTGCCACAAGGATCTTTTGGGCTTTTAGGATGTAGGATACAGGGTTTGGGGTTTAGGATTTAGGGCGTTTGGGTTTCGGGGGTTTCATTGGTAAGGCAGGATTCAGGGTTTCAGTACGGGTAGGCGGTGTGAATCGGGCCTTAGTGATTTGAATAGGGCTTGGGGGTATATGGGAGTTTCCGAAATTTAGGGGTACCTTATTTGGGGGTCCTTATATATAATAAGGATCCTACTATTTAGGGTACCATTTTCGGGTCCCCTATTTTCGGAAACTCCCATATCTATAGTACTATACTTAAGGAACCCGATGGAGGAATGCTACGAAATAAATGGTTTTCGGAGCTTGACTTTGATTGCTTTATGGCTTGTGGCCAGGATTTCGGAGCTGTGGTTTCTGGGTGATTCGGGGAGTCTCTTCAAAACAGAGATGCCGTTTAAGGACCTGACGGGCTTCTGCTTGTTAAAGAACTCTCTGCAGATGCAGTTTTCCAATCCGGGATGAGGTTGTACGGCCCATGGACATCACATCCCAAGGCTCTGAGGTCATCCTGCACCGGTTCCTCAGGAAGCCCACATAGACACCAGAAGACCACTCAACATGCTTCCAGGTGGTTAAGGGCTTAAGATTTAGGGCTTCTGTGTTACAAGTGCCGTAGATGTACGTGCAGCATCGGCCAAGCAGTATGAGATTAAGCCACATGGCGTCGAATGCTGCAAGCCGCACAACTTTCCAACCCCTGCAACCTGTAGCTAAACACCATCATCCACTGAACCCCAAACCCTAACCCCCCAAAAGGGATGCGGCTTAGGCACTGATGCCAGCCGCAATTCATTCCACTATTTAACATGCAGATCAGAATACGGAGAAACGGTACCCGCTCAGTATATATATAGCCCCTGTATGAAGTTAGAATATACGTAATTTAACCACAAACCTGTTCGAATTGTATACTACTGTCCCAAACCCTATATTACATTAGCCCTGAACCCTAAACCCAATTCGAAGTATGTACTACTGCCCCTAGTTTTTTGCTACCCAGGTATCCTATGGTCTCCATCGAGGATCCCTTCGACCAGGCTCACATGCCATTCGCAAACATGATCACAGTTGGTGGTTGATTCGGCTTTAGGGGTTTTAGGGTTGAGGCAATGTTGCATGGCGGCAGTGAAGATGCTTAGACTGAAGAAGATCAAGATAAATCTGTCTGTTGCTGTGGTGCTGCTCGTTCTGGTGCTGACTCTAATGGAGAATGATGTCACTGAAGCTGATGACGACGAGATTGTCGGTATTGCTGTCGATGGTGGAAATTAAGATGATGATAATGACAACCGTGTTGGTGATGGTGATGCTCGTGCCATTGCTGGCGCTCGTGCAGGGGCTGCTGATTCTGGTGTTTGAACTGGGGTTCCTCGTTATAGTTATGGTATAATGGGCCCCATAAAGACCTATTCTAATTATGAAGGCCCCTACACGATTGAATTAGTGCTTGTTGAGATGCTCTTGCCCTGTCGAGAAGGTCTGGCTGAGGGCCTAGAGCCTGGAGGCCCTCCGGTTGATGATATGAATTCTGCATTGCCTCAATGACCCCAGGCTATGGGAATTAAGGTACATTCCGACTTCTTTGTGATGGGTAATGCAGATTTATACCATCATCCGTAGCAGCTTCACGGTTCGGGGCTCGAATTATTACTGAGCTCATCGCGCCAGAGCCACAGAGACTCGTAAGAGATCAGGATCTTGAAGCCCAGCATTCCGAAGCTGAATGTACATTCATCAGGGGGATTGTTGCTTTCGCGGATGTTTCGGAGCAAGCCCATTAGCACCTCTGGACCATTGGAGGACGACTGGGACGGCTACAAGCCATTCACTGCAGCGATCGGAGACAAGGCCGAGGGCCGAGCATGGCAAGTGGGTTTGCGAAGATTTTCTGTCATGTGTATGTGTATATATATATACACATATAAATATACATATATGTATGTATGTGCAGGTATGTATGTATGTATGTATGTATGTATGCAAGCATATTTATATATATATATATATATACATATGCACATACGTACATGTCTAGCTGTCTATATCTATCTATCTATATCTATCTTTCTTTCTACGTACATACAAATATGCTCTTGCATGCTCATGGAGTCATTGAACATCCCGGGGCACCAAGCCCTGAAACAATTTAATATCGACTCTATGCTTGGGAGGCGTAAAACGCAAACAAAAAGAGAGCGTTAAGCCCCCAACGTGCCACGACCCCATAGTCATAGGCGTCCCTTTAAAGGTCCCTTTAAAGGGATCTACAGGGATTCTATAAGGGTATAGGGTTTAGGGTCTACTTGGAGGTTCATGGGTAGTTATAAATGGGGTTATAAGTCCCCTAGTAGGGGCTATAACCATAGTTAGCCTAATTATAACCCCACTTGATTACAGCTAATTACCCATGAACCTCCAAGTACACCTCACTTCTCCACTACCAGAAGCTTCGATGATCCACTAGTCGACTGAGAATCGTCGGCTCACGCCTTGCGGAAACGGTGCAGAGCACCGCGCAGACCGAACATATGGACCAGTGACTCGTCCATAAGCGCAGCCTTCCAAAACGCTTTACGACCCTTTGCTCGTAACCCGCCAAATCAATGATAAGTCCAGACACCTTCCCCCATAAAAAACTAAGCAAAGCGTACGGCTGCTGTTCGAATGGTATTCGTAGTTAGTTCTGGTTATGTACTCAGGAAGGTAGGTAATCGTGAACGAAAGTATATGGAAAGGTGCCAACTTTGGGGTGGAGGGCTGCAGGGATCTATGGCGGCTTTCGGGCTTTGCGGGTTGGGGTCTCTAGGCTCTTTATAGGGTTTAGGGTTTTGGGTTTAGGGTATATAGGGGTTTAGGGTTTAGGGTTTAGGGGTTTAGGGTTTAGGGTCTATATAGAGTCCATGTATACTTGACCAGGCGGCACGCCCGGTAAAGACTACCCAGATTCCGGGAGGATCTAGAAAGTAGATCCCCTAATTTGCGGCCCTATACTACTAAGGGTACTCTATAGGAACCCCCAGAAAGGGATCCACTTTTTGGATCCTCCCGGGGATCTGGGAACCTAAACCCTAAACCCCTAAACCCTAAACCCCTAAACCCTAAACCCCTAAACCCTAAACCCCTAAACCCTAAACCCCTAAACCCTAAACCCCTAAACCCCTAAACCCTAAACCCCTAAACCCTAAACCCCTAAACCCTAAACCCTGATCCTCAGACGTAGGTCCAAATCGTGGGCGATGATCTTCTGGTCACCAACCCCAAGCGTATTGGCAAGGCTGTGGAGGACGGCGACGCACCCTGGCCTGAAAAGAGCGGTTTAGGGTTTCCTTTAGGGGGGTTTAGGGTTCAGGAATTAGGGTTTAGTTTTAGGGTTTAGGTTTTAGGGTTTAGGGTTTAGGGGGCTGTGGAGGACGGCGACGCACCGTGTCCTGAAAAGAGCCAAGCTGTCCAGGTTTGACGGGGCAGGGGATGTTGGGGAACGTAAGTAATTTCAGCAGGTCGGGTATTGTCATTTCTGAGCGATAAGTTACAGCCCAGGAATGGCTGTGAGTTAGAATCCGGTCTGAACGATCGAGCAATTCCCGGTGCTCGCTGGGGCTTGCTCTTTCAGACTCCCTTTCCCCCTCCATCCTTCCTTCACTCTCGTTGTGCTTCTATCGTCTTTCGTCAGGCTTGTCAACTGTGTCGCCCTACCTTCTTGCACTAGTGTTGCGCTGTGCATGTTCTCACAGTGCTCCGTGCGTGCCTCCTGTCGCCAATTTGTTCAAAGCACCGTGTGTCCCTTAATTAAGGTTCATGTGTAGCAGTGTAGCAGTGTGGCATGACCATGCAGTTCGCACATCTTCTTTTCAGTATCCGCAATCTGCGAGCGTGTCTGTGTGTACTGGTTGTCAGCCATTCCCGGATTTGACCATGCAAGCTTCCTGGCCCTACGCAGCCGCTTAGGACCCGTCATTCCCCTTTTCTGACTAAGTAGTCCAGTGTTATTGGCATGTTGTCAGTGTTGCAGCAATTGCTCTTCGCATCAGTGTTTGTTGGTTTGTTGCCTATTTCTGCGAACCGTTACGCTCCGTACCGCTTCTGCCTCGTGATCCTACTCGGGCTCACCTATACAATTACTTCAAACAAAATACAAGTACTGCTGCGGCATCGCTCCCGTTGTTGTGGCAAGAAGAGTCAGGCCTCTTTCGCCGGCGAACGGTCAATCCCAGTGGTCGCAGAGTAGCACGTTTGAAGAAACTCCGGCTCAAACCCTAAACCCTAAACCCTAAACCCTAAACCCTAGACCCTTACCCTTATGCCCCCAAAGCTTCAAACCCGAAATCCACAAACCTCGAATACCCCATCCCCTAAGGCCCTAAACCCCCAACCCCTAAGGCCTAAACCCTAAAGTCTAAGCACATGAGAGCCACATCCAAGGCCTGCAACGCTTTGCTCCTCAAGGCGGGGGCGGCACTGAGGCTACTGTTCCTCTGCTTGGGGGTTGAGGGTTTGGGGTTTGGGGTTTAGGGTTTGTGGGTTTAGGAGTTGGGCAACTGTCGTAGAACCGATGCTGATGAACGACCGATCCTGGACGCACAATCGGATCCGGTGTCATCCAACGTCTCTAGCATGACAAGCAATGGAACAGAAAGCTCACTTGCCTGAACTTACCTTTGGTTCGTAGGGAAGGAAAGGCTGGTAGTAATAGTATTCATAATGGTACCCCATCCCTCCATTCCCTACTAACCAAAGGTCAAGATCCCTTTAAAGGAACCCTAAACCCCTATAGATCCCTTTAAAGGAACCCTATAGATCCCAGTAAATGAGCCCTATTCCCTACTAACCAAAGGTAAGTGAACAGACAGAGTTCATCAACCCCGCGAGGTGAATCAGATTGGCTCAATCTCTGAGGCCATCGAGGCCTGCAAGCTCTGCCAGGACTGCTTCGGGCATTATCAGGGAGATTAGCATTAGGGTTTAGGGTTTAGAGTTTAGGATATAGGTTTAGGGTTTAGAGTTTAGGGTATAGGGTTTCCAATAGTATTGTTGCTGCAACCCGATTCCTTATTTTGCCTGACTGTAAGTAAGTAGACCTCATTGCTCCTGCTGTGCTGCGATCACTACTCGAGCCCTTCGCAAGCAGCATCAGTGCTCAACATCGGCATTGGACTACGACATCACGAAAGTATTGTAAATGCCGAGTAACATGAGTGTGCTCTTAAACAGTGTTTATGAGAGGTGGTTGGCAGGGAGGGCAGCTGCTGCTACTACTACTACTACTACTGCTACTACTCCTACTACTACCACTACCACTACCACTGCCATTACCGCTACCACCAGCACTACCACTACCAATATCACCGCCACAATGTCGACTACTACAACTGTCCTACTACTTCGACTACTACAACTCCTACTACTGCTACTAACTGCTATTACCTCCGTGCTGCTGCTGTTGTGGGTGGTCAATGATGCTGGTTCATTCCGTTCCACTCTTCACGATCCTGAACTCTACTTGGTTTATCCCACCAATTGGCTGTTCCGCACCTTTGTTTTTGCCAGCATGGCCTTGGACGCTATGTTATGTTGATTGGACGAACACTTCCTGCCAATCTGCCCCCCAAACAGACGGACCCCAACGAAGTGAGAGCTACCACCAGGACAGAGGTTGGGGCGCTTCTTGGTTGCAGTTCGTGGTACCAAAGATCTATACCAGGATATGAACCCTGTGAACCCTGCACATAAATGCAACACAGCCCCGAAGGCTAGGAAGTGCCTCCGCCATGAGCTGGGGACCTTCATTGCGCAGCTAGGTTTTCGGTATCTAAGTCAGTCTCCGTCGCAGTAACCCTCCCGTGACTCGGGTTGAGTGGCGTAGCTTTCACATGTGGCGACCACTTTTGTTTCTGGACACCAACGATCCGTATAAGTAGCACAGCCATTGATGTTTCAAATCATTCAACATGTCCCAGATTCTAAACCCTGAACCCAAAGGGTCCTATGTACTGTTATAATAGTAATTCCTAATATAGAAACCCTACATTCTACTATATCGGTACTTTGGACCCTTTGGGGAAGCCAAAGTCACCCAGAAAGCCTTAAACGGTCGGTCTGACCAGCGTTCCCTCGAGCTTCAAAGCATGTGTTTACTTCTCTGCATTACCCATAGGCCCCAAAGTAGTTCCTTTTTGGGATTACCTAATAGAATTCTATATATGAACCCCAAAAAGGAACTGCTTTGGGGCCTTTGGGTAGAGATGTTCACCCGAAGTTGCATTACGACTGCTTGCGCCAGCCGGCTCGACAGGACTGGCAGTGCTATGAACGCTACAGAGCTGGGGTTGCTCTCTTGCTATTGCCGGTGCTATGAAGACTCATAGCAATCATTACTGCTCTCGTTTTTGTTTACCTGTTGCTCCTATAACATTGACATATGTTGACTATAGCATGCCCAAATCTCGGTTCTGGGTATTAGTTATCACCTGCAGCATGCTGGCCGTTTGGGCCAACGCATCTTCGCAGATAGTTCTTGCCGGCCGAGGAATTCCGATTCCACGTACTTGCGCTCCTGTAGACGACTCCTCAAACCGAGCGAGAGAGAGAGAGAGACATATACATATATGTCTATATCTCATAAAGCCATAGAGATGCACAGTTACATATAGATATGGATATAGACATAGATATAGGTGACCGTATGTTTCTTGATATACATTATATATGTATGTAGAGAGAGATATAGATGGCTATGTCTATGTGTATATGCCTATGTACATGTACATGTATATGTATATGTGTATGTATTTCATCTATGTCTATGTACATGTCTATGTACATGTACATGTATACGTATGTGTATGTGTATGTGTATATGTATGTATGTATGTATATATATATATATATATGTAAGTGCATATGCATTTATGTATATATGTATATATGTATCTGTATATATGTAGATGCATATATATATATATATATATATATGTACATGCATGCGTAGGTGAAGGTGTTGGTGCAGCTGCAGGTGTAATTAAATGTACATGTATATGTATATTGTAGATGTATTTGTACGTATGTATCTATGTATATATATATATATATATATATGTATCTATGTATAGATAGCTAGAATTTGCTAGCTAGATAGATTGATTGATCCCCCGAGCCAGAACACCCTTAGCATCCTTGTAAAGTCCTGGAAAAAGCCTTGCTAGAGCCCAGAGAGAAGCCGTAATCCCTTCCCCCTGATAAACCCTAAGCCCTAGACCCAAAATAAGGGGAAGGGAATACACTAAACCGCGAGCGGACAAGGTCATGGTCTCCCACCGATCCGGGGAAACCGAAGATGTTTCTCGGAGAGCAAAACGCCTGGAAGAGGGTTAGGGGTTTTTGGGGTTTGTTTTTTGTGGGGGGGGGGTCACCGTTGATGATACAAATCCTGCATTACCTTAAGGAGCCTAAACTATGGGAATTATGGCATATTCCTGATTATGGGTAATGCAGGGTTTATATAACCAAGCAAATAGGAATTTAGGTTCTGAAGGTTCAGAGTTTAGGGGGGCTTCAGGGTTTAGGGTGTTCTGGTTTAGGGTTTACGGATTTTTGGGTTAAGGGTTTGGGAATTTAGGGTTCCGAAGGAGCCCAAAAAAGTGGCAGGACAGGCTGGGATTCGAACCCTTTCCTACATCCTCAAAGCCTTCACAAATACCCACATGCAGCCACACTTGCTGGCGTGCGCGCACGCACATGCGTGCACATGCACGCAAGCACAAATGCAGTCAAACACACGTACACACATGCACACACGTGCCTGTACATATGTATATCTTTCATATGTGCACATGCATATATGTATATGCATACCTACAAACATACATACTTGCTTACTTACATACTTGCATACCTACATCCATACATATACACATAGATATGTAACATGTGCATCTAAATAGAGGTGCAAGTTTCAGATGTAAATGCATAATATGTGTGTACAGTTTAAGTGTGTGTGTGTGTGTGTATGTGTATATATATATATAGCTATGCACACACACACACACACACGTACTGTACACGTAATGTACAGATATAAAGCAGGTCTTCATCGCTGACCTCTCTGTTGGATTGCGATCGGGGCAGATCAAAACGGGTGCCCCTTGCCGCTCGGAGAGGTGGGCCAAGCAGCATGTTTGTTGCTAGGAAGTCCTGCAGGTTGGGGTTTTGGGAAAGGATTGATGATATGAATCCTGCATTCCCTTGAGGACCCAAAACTCTTGGAATTATGGGATATTCCTTATTATGGGTAATGCAGGATTTACACCATCAGCCGTAGGATTCGCGGTTTAGGGTTAAGATTTCCTAAACACATTGCTATGGAAAGCTTCCCCATTCCAGGGAGATTTCCGTTCAAGGCTTGTGGTATGATGCGAGAGGGCGCTCAATGCTTGCTACGGGGTTGCTTGATTTTGCGGGTCGTCGTAGAAGCCGGGGCCAAAGCCAACACCAGCGGTGTGAAGTACAAGCCGGCAAGACGAAGCAATAGACCTCCAAAGTACATCTTTGCGCCTAGAGAAACCTTACACCCTAACTGGGTTCCTTGGCACTGGTTTCTCATTTCCGTTGGTGCCCCTTGTCGCTCTGTGCTTTGTACTAACCAGCAGGCTCTAAGTCATCCAAAGCCGCCGAAAGGTACGAGCAATCCCGGGTACGGCGGGTATGAGGGTTCTACATGGGATCGGTAATGATTTTACATTGGTTCTGTGCCCATGACTGCTTGAGTATCCTTGTCCCCGAGCATACTGCTCTGTGTGGCCAGGACCGCGAAATTAAATCAGCTGATGCGGATAGAGGAGGAGCTCGGAGACCGTGCAGTCTACGTTGGGGCCCCAGCTGGTGATGAGATCCGGGACCTCTTTTGCGTTTCGGGTTGTCAGCCTGAGAACGTACGCTAGTCAGAATCCTAGCAATACGACATGCAAGTAATATCTGCTGCTGAACAGGTCATGATGAAGATTTTGACGGTGATGACGGTTATTGGCTGATGGCTTATGACGAGGATGATGATGATGATGATGGCGGTGATGATGCCATCACGATGATGATGATGGTGGTGATGAGGAGGAAGACGTCGATGGCGGTGGCGATCGCGGTGCCGGTGGCGATGACGGTGGCGGTGATGATGGTGATGATGACCAGCATCATCATCATCATCGTCATTATCAGCAGCAGCAGCAGCAGCAGCATCAGCATCCTCATCATCACGCACCATAAACATGATCGTGGTATCGCTAGTTCTCGCGATGATACTTCCAGGACCGCTATTGCCAAGACTGGTAATGGTAGTTGCAGTCAGCACATACTCAGACACCACAACCACATCAATGCTCCATAGAACCATTGAGACGCTCCCAGCCCCTACTCACAACCGTGAAGTGGACTCCAGACTTACCCCAATTCCGAGGCTACCCTAAGCCCTGAGCCCTAATTCTTAAAGCCGCGCTCCCTATGAAACCCTAAGCCCTAAAGTTAAAGCCCTAAAGCCCTAAACCCTAAAGCTCTAAAAGCAGAATCTTCAGAGTGAAACGAGGCCGGGCTCAACTTCCGCAAGCCCGTCGTTTAAGCGACGTTCGTCGCCAATCATCAGAGTTGCTGCGGCGGAAAAGCTGGGCTTTGGGACCGTAGGGTCAGGGTTTTTAGGGCTTCAGGGTTTAAGATTTAGGGCTGCGTCGGCTGGATGGTTGTGGGGCTTAATGTTCATGATGATGGGGTTTCGGGATTTTGGGGTGTGGGGGTTTTAAGATGTGGGACTTTGGGTTTTTGCCTTTGGGGTGCCCGTTTTCAGGCGTTGGCATATAGGGCCCTAAACCCTAAACCCTACAGTAAACCCCAAGCTGCCGAACTTTCAGCCCCAAGTTCAGGGTTTAGTGACTTGCGCTCGGTGTTTTTTTAAAGGCTTTGAGATCGAGTTTTCGAGGGAAGCTGGGGGCTGAAAAGCTTTCCCTAAGGCTCCATGTACCCATACGGGTGGTTGTCAAAATTAGGGTCCCTAATTGGGCACCCTAAATAATAGGTGCCGTATTACAATAAGGACCCAAGAAGGGACCTTAATATTGACAACCACCCACAATGTACCCATATAGTATGTACCTAGGCCTTAAAGTACCTATATAGGGACCCCTTTAAAGCTTAGGTGTCGACTATAAAGGCACATGGAGCCTTTGGGGTTTGTATCTTCGAGACAACTACTTTGGTCTTACGGCTCATGGGGATTAGGTTGCAGGGTTTTAGGGCTTAGGGTTGAGAGGGATTAGGGTTTAGGTCGCTATGCTGCCACTCCACGCTCTCAACCGAAACCCTTGTAAACATCTTGATGCAGTTCCAGCCTTTCACGAAGCCAGCAAGAATTTTCTCAAAGCGAGGGACTCTGATACAGACCCGAATAGGAGGATCAATCACAACAGGGACCTTTTAAGCGGGACTTGTGACGGGACCCCTTAGTTTCGGCCTGAAGCACAAAACCCTCAACGCCTAAAGCCCAAACTCGCTCCCCTCTAACAATCACGCACACCCGCTACAAGGTACCAACCCAGCATTTTTGAAGCTAATGTAGAAACCTGATTCAGAAACCCGGGCCTATAACCCAAAAATAGTATGATTCATACAGGGAACCCCGATAAAGGCCCAAGGTCTCTTAATCAGGTTCCTACATGGGAGTTTCCGAAAATTAAGGGTACCTTATCTTGGGGTCCTCATAATAAGGATACTACTATTTAGGGTGCTATATTAGGGTCCCTGTTTTCGGAAACTGCGACATTAGGGTGTCTCATTGGTTGCACCCAAGGCCTTCAAAGCCTCGAACCCGAGCTACGTAGAATATTCTAATATTTAAGACTTAGGGGAATGGGGGGGGCACGGCGGGGATTGTGAAATTTTGGCAAGTGATGTATGGACGCGTCGGAATAGTTAGTAATTAGTGGTGTCCCCTTATAGCACCCGTTTCATGATGCCACAAAAAACTCCAAATCCTTGTTCCGACAATTCTAACTATTGAAGCCCTTCCGTCAAGCCTCTATATATACTACTTCTGCCCCTACATCAAGCCCAATAGCACGGCGAAGACCTGGTTGCAGGGCAAGACAGGTGAGGAGGAGCTGGGGACGCAGGACGAGGCGCCTTTAAGGGTTACTGTATGAGGGTTCTATGAGTTCTTTTTTATGCAGGTTCTTTGAGGGTCTATAGGGGTGTGCTATAAAGGTCCCATAAGAGCGGTTAAGGGGTTTGTAGAGCCGCTTAGCCGGTGGAAAGCATTGCCAGGCACGAGCACGAAGTGTGCCAGGGAGGTGTGGGGCATTTAGGGTGACGGTTTAGGGTTTCGGTTTTTGGGGGGACTTGGGGGTGCGAGGTATGCCAGGTTCGGGTTTGGGGCATGCTACCTAGTTCTCCTGCTTCTGCAAGTTGGACTTGGAGTGGGACGACCATCAACGGCACTGCTGCCACCGCCGCCGCTATCGCCTCCTCCTCCTCCGAGCCGCCACCACCACCACCACCACCAGCAGCAGCGCTATCACCAATATCATCCCGCCGCCACGACCGCCACCACCACGACTATCTCCTCCTCCTGCTGCTGTTACTGTTACTGCTACTGATGCGAGTACTATTACAAAAAATGAGAAAGAGCAAAACAAGAAATTTGCACGCCGAGTCCGGGGTAACCTGGGTTTCTCATTTTGAAGGCTCGCATTTTATGTACATACTTTTCTTTCGCACGGCAGTCCCAGGGGCTCAGTTTCTTAAACCAATGAGTTCTTAAGCAGTGCTGTTGCTGTACAATAGTACTAGCACCAGTAGTAGTGCTAAGGCTACTACCAATTCCATTACACTACCATTACTACTACCAATAATAAAACATATACTTAAACTGTTTGAGTATACTGATACAAACGCTTGTGCTAATCCTCATGCTCATGCTGCATGCTGATGCTAATTTTGCCAACATCACTACCAACACTAACACTAATACACGTACTCACTCTGCACCACAACTGCCACTACTTCTCCTTGTTCGTCGACTACGGCAGCGGCGGCAAGTACCGCTACCGCTACTGTGCGTGTCGTAACAACCCTTTTTCGAAACCCTAAACGCTAAACCCTAAACCCCAAAAGCCAAGCCCAATACTTGAATTTGTTCCCCTATCCTTCGCTGCCCGCCCCGAATCTAAACTCTCTCGGTAGGCTGCTGTGCAGACGGCCTCCTGCTTCTCCATGGGTGGTGCACTCAGCTTGTGAGCCAAAGGAGAGGTAAAAAGAAGGGTGTATGACAGGCAGAGGGCTAGGAGACAGGCATCAAGAAACGGAAGATCGCTGGAGAGATGGGAAGAGAAAGCCGGCACATTGACATGTATTTTTGACATATACTGGTTCTGCGGTTGCATGGCATGAACAGGTACGTATACTCTAGCATGTGCCGGCAAAGTCTCCGAGGCACCGTGGCACTTCCGCTTGACCTCTCCGACCCGTCTGGCGGCTCTTCTTCCCTCGGCGGCCCCATCAAGGAAAGTCATCTTAGGGCCTAGCATTTCGGGTTTAGGGTTTAGCGTTTCGAGTTCCGGTTATTGAGATCGTGGGGTTGAGAGATTTCTGGTGTTGGGCTTGCAGAGAGGACAGGGACGCGTCCGAAACTATGAGGTGTTGGTTTTGTCGGAGCTCATGTTTTCAGGCACGGGGTCTGATCATTTAGGGTAAAGACATTTTTTCAGATGGGCAGGGCTCAGGATGTCCAGGATGGAGGTGGCGGTGTTGGATCCGTCAGAATAAAAATGGGAGTCATGCATGCTTGGAGTCCGGATGAGGGGAGGTTGTTGATTCGGCCCCAAGCCGAAACGATAGTACTTTGTCGCGCTTTCTCGGATGGCTCATGTGCATCATGTCAACTGCAGATCCAGCATGTTGCCACAACCATGGACCTTGTGGGTCACGCCTCTCAGGTCACGCCTTTCAGCTCTCATGTGGAGATGTCTTACCGGTCCATCGATGCAAATCTTCAGCCAGTCTTTGAAGCGTGAGGAGTTTTGTAGATCGAGTTCAGTTGCTGTAAGGACGGCCGGCTCCTGATACGTAGCACGGTGTTCCTCACGGACATGCACGACGGCCCGAGCCCAAACGAAGTGCCTGCTTCGAGTCGCGAAAATCCGTGAATGCGTACAAGATGGCCAGGAATCACTAATTTAGGGTTCAGGGTTCCTTTTTGTGGGATCCATATATGGGTTCATTAAAGGGATCTATAAGGGTTCTATAAAGGGAATTTAGGTTACACCTTCAGCCTTTTTCTCGCCTGCCATCGTGTGATCTCCGGGCCTGTACACCTAGTTACCTAGACCTTGCACAGAGACATGGTTTTGCATCTGGTAGTAGGGGATCACTGAACGGACTTGTTTCTGAGAAGAGCCTGCTTCAGTCTAGTCCAATTTCAAGGTTTTGTCAGCAGTGGAGTGAGGTGGTTGATCAGTGAGGCTCGGGCAGATACCAGCCTCCCCATCAGTTGAACAGATTCGTGCGGGTTTTTTCGAGATGCTCTAAACCCTAAACCCTAATTGACGTTGGCCAGAAGAGCTCCCATTCGCATGAGTGAAGCTTTCGATGTCACGCTACTGTCTTTGATTTTCAATCTGCCAGAGCACTGCCCTCATTTGAGACTGCTATGCCGCGAGTTCAATCGCCAAATCCTTAACCGAAGAACCCCCAAGCCTGATACCCCAACCCACGAACCAACAACACCAAAGCCCTCTGCCAAACCCCCCCAAACCCTGAACCTTAAATCCTAGTCCTAGTCTCAGACACTGAACCTCAAGACCCCTTTTCTGCCGTTCAGGTCGGAAGAAGGTGTTCCTGGCGACGAAGGACAGACTTCTTGCTCAGATAACTAATTTTGTTTAAGATACCATAGCATGAAAAGCATGCTTAACAAATTTGAGTATAGCATGGAGAGCATACCATCCAGGGATTATAATATAGGTCTTGTGGTTTAGCTACTAGTACAACCTGAAGATCCAGCATCCGGAGGACCAGCCGCTCCAGCTGAAGCTGGGGGTACTGCTCGGCGGGTGCGCACATCGGTCTGAGATCCCTCCTCATGACCGTAAACCTTATGGCTCGCCCAGGTCATATCACCCCGTGGCCCTGAAACATAGACTCCCTAGACCCTGTGGCCTATTTTCCTGAAACCTATGAAGCATAACCCTAATTCTGAAACCCATGATCCTAAACCCTGAACCCAACAAGTATGTCCGAGTCGGTGCAAAGGCCTTTCGTTCCTGGTGTCTTGGGCTCTGAAGACCAGCTGGTGTTCGGGGTTGGGGCTCGTAGAATGTAGGGGCCTTGATGGTCAGAATGCGGTTTCCAGTGCACCAGTACGGTGCAGATATGGGCGTAGAAGGAGATAAGCCCTACAACCACGGAGGTCTGACCCCTCAAAGGCAGCATGAAGGCCGGCTACACAGCCCTTCGTCAGGCAAAAAGCACCTAACGACCCCTTGGGGTTTAGCATACAGGAGAGAAGCAAGGCCACAAAATGTCGAAAAGCTACTGTACCAACCTGATTCAGAAACCTTGGGCCTGTGTTCG